GGTTCCACTGACATGCAGCTTTGCTTTGCCCCTCCCATCCTGTCCCTAGCCGCCTGGGGCCAGGAGCCCACACTTACTTTCACACTGGGAAGGCCGCCGGGAGCCCAGCACGCTCTGCAGGAAGTGTTTCAAATCCACCTTTCCATCCGCTGCAAGAGGAAACCCCCCTGAGAGACAGTCTGGGGGACAGGCTCAGCCAGTGCGGATTGAGCTTGTGCCCTGAAAACACAGCGTGGCCACAGCAGCACAGCCAGCGGGCGAGGCCAGCCACCCCGAGTGACCCTGTGAAACGCCAGGCCTGTCCCCGGGGAGCTAGCACCTCCCACCCGTGGCTGCACTGCTGTTAGTGCGCCTGGGAGTATTTCTCGCACATTCCATGAGAGCTGCTGTGAGAACTTCCCCTCCAGCTGGGATACACCCCGGCTCAGCTCGCAGGGCAGCCAGGCCCACAGCTAGGGCCCGTTTACATTGCCTGGCAGCATAAAAGTGAGTGTCGATATAATTCACACTCACTTTGGGGCCCCTTCGCACGGGCTCGCCATGGCCCCACCCCAGCCAGCGGCTCCAAGGGCCGGATCCAAAGCCCAGACACATCAAAGGCGACCTTAGCGGCCAAAGGAGCACAAGGATGTGGGCCCGTTTCGGAGGAGGACAAGCCAGGCGGGACGCGGCCGCAGTCAGTGCAGGAAGGGTTTGCCCCAGCCTCTGTGATGGCCGACTCGGAGCCTCGGGGTATTTGGAACTAACCCCATGAGAATTTGCCAAGGGAAGTCAGGATTTTGCATGATTTGTTGGGCATTTCCCCTTGATCTTTTCCCAGACAGGGAGGTGGGGCTGGGAAGGAGGGCGAGTTCTCTGCGTCTTGGTGCAGGGGGAGTTAGGGATTGAGTCACACGGCTGCTCCCCTCTGTATTGAAAAGCAGGAAAAGTGCCAGCAGCGTGTGCCGGGGAAGAGGAACGCAGCAAGAGTGAACAATCACCGAGGGGCTGAAACGCTCAGCTATCCTGCAGGCAGACTGACACCAGCCCTGCGTGTTCTGACACACATGTGTGTGCACACCCGCCCTGCACACACGTATGCACTTGCCAGAACACTCATGCATGCACACAACCCTGGGATCAAGCCAGGCTCTGGACAACCAACAGGTGCAGTTGGCTTGTAGCAGCTACTGCCTGCCTGGGTGGAAGAAGACACAGACTCCAAAGCATTCGCTGAGGGCAGTGATAGCTCCCGTTCCTGCTCCTGCTCCTGCCATGGTCCCAGCCTTGACTCGCTCCAGCCTGGTGTTCGTGGAGACTCCACGCTGTGCTCCATGCTGGTCGGGGGAGTCTGTGTCCAGCAGCCCCTCCAGTGGTGGCTGGGTCTAGAGAGTGCAGGACTTCTGTGTTCTGGGAGCTGCGCTATGAAACCGGCCGTCCAGGGAACCTTGCTTCAAAACCCTGCCCTGGCTCTGTGGGACTCATTGCAGCAGTTCCTCATCTGCAGGGATGCGTCCTCAAGAGGACCTGCTCCCGCCCCTCGGCACCGGCTCCTGACGTCTCATTCCGGCTTTGACCCTGGGCTCTGATTCCTGACTCCTGCCCCAACCACTGAGCCCGACTGCGCCAGTCCCGGTCACTGAGCACCTGCGTACGCGCACTCCAGCCTCAGCCGAGACTCCAGCACACGGAGCGACATGCCGCATTACTCACCACTGCGAGCGACGCTCCCCAGGGCCTTCTGAATCTCCTTCTCGGTTACAGGGAGGCCCATGCTGGCTAAAATGGAGTTCAGGTTCTTGACATCAACCTTTTCCCCTTTGGAGATGGGGAAAAACAGGCATCACCCAGCGTCCTCTCTCTCAGTGCACCGGTAGGAATTGCCAGGGCTTTGGAAAGTCTTTTTCCAGCCCAGAGTTGGCCAGCTCACTGCATGCTCTTATTCTAGCACGTGATGGTTTGTATGGCCACAAAACATCGCAGATCCAAGGGGTGGCAAGACACTATCTGTGCATTGACGTAACTAAAGCTACGTCTAGACTGCAGGCTTCTTTCGGAAGAAGATTTTCCAGAAAAGATCTTCCAAAAACCCTTTTCCGAAAGAGAGCGTCCGCACTGCCAAAGTGCATCGAAAAAGTGATCTGCTTTTTCGAAAGATAGCGTCCACGCTGAATGGACACTATCTCGCATTTCAGCTGTGGTTGCTATGGGCGGAGTGGCCACTAGGCCACCTGTGCTTTTTCCTCTTCCCTCTTCTTCCAAAAGAAGTCCCTCTTCCCCGTCCACACACGCCTTATTCTGAAAGAGCTCTTTTGCAGAAAGGCTTCTTCCTTGTAGAAAGACGTTTACCAATGTCGGAAAAGCCCCCGTTCTTTCGATTTTCTTTTGAAAGAACACGATTGCAGTGTGGACGTAAGTGAAGTTTTTTCTGAAAAATGGCTGTTTTTTCTGAAAAAAACTCTGCTGTGTAGACATACCCTAACCTGATGCAGCTCCCATGGATGGACACTTATTTTGGATTAAGAATGCTATATAGAAACAGGACATAAGTCAATAAAAAATACCCCCATAAGCTAAACCACTGTGAGACTCTCAGTCCCATTTCAGAGTGTCCACACTCGGGAGCTGCCCTGATTTTATCATAGAATCATAGAACCATAGAGCTGGAGGAGACCTCAGAAGGTCATCAAGTCCAGCCCCCTGCCCAAGGCAGGACCAATCCCAACGAAATCAACCCAGCCAGGGCTTTGTCAAGCTGAGACTTAAACACCTCTAGGGATGGAGACTCCACTACTTCCCTAGGTAACCCATTCCAGTGCTTCCCCATCATCCTAGTGAAATAGTTTTTCCTAATATCCAACCTGGACCTCTCCCAACGCAACTTGAGACCATTGCTCCTTGTTCTGCCATCTGTCACTACTGAGAACAGCCTCTCTCCATCCTCTTTGGAACCTCCCTTCAGGAAGTTGAAGGCTGCTATCAAATCCCCCCTCACTCTTCGCTTCTGCAGACTAAACAGACCCAACTCCCTCAGCCTCTCCTAGTAGGCCATATGCTCCAGCCCCCTAATTTTACTTAATCCGTTCCCAAACAGGTTAACTTAGTGCATGAAGTGTGTGGAGACGAGACCAAAGGCCACTTGACACCTCACTGGTGGTAGAAAAGGGCATCCAGGCAGGTGTTTGTTTCATTTACATTCATTTCAAGGCCTTTCTGACCCATCAGAGTGGTGTAAAACCACTGTGATGGAAACTGGAATCAAGCCCAAAGGACCCATCAGTGATATTAGCTCAAGTGGTGGTTGCTCAGCATTCCTGACTCAGACCGCTCCGGTTCTCATGCATCCGAGGCATCGCCCCATCCCTTCCAGTTTTGGCCCCGAGGTGTTTCCATCACGGAGCTGTGTGCACCGCCAAAGCCAAGATCCCTGGGAAAGATCCCCAGCATCTCTTCCGAGCCTGGTGCTTAGACATCAGGACAGGCCTGGTTTCCAGTGTGTCCACCCTGCTGGTAGAGGGGGGATTGTGGTCTGGCTAGACAGGTCTGTGCTAGCTGTATGTGCACTAGCACGGCTAAATACCAGGGTGCGGATCGAACAGCACAAGCTTTGGCACCCTGGATGGGCTTGTGCTAGCTTGGCTGCAGCTGAAGCTGCACCCTTGATACTGCTAGCATGGATGTGTCTGCCAGGGCGGCAATTGCACTTCGGACTGCAGCTTAGACATATCCCGAAGGGGGAAGGATGTAGCCCAGCTAACCTTTGTGCCATCCACCCATCAAGTGACTTTGGCAAATAAAAAGGCCTACACTGGTTACACTCAGCTCTGCAGCTACGTACAGAGAAAAGGCCCAGGAGATGGCGTGCCATATATTTCTCTTACATACACCCGGAGAAAGGCAACTAACCCTAACTAGCACGTGACACCGTCTGGTCATCATCCGCCATCCATCTCCGTCAGATTGTGCCATCCACCCATCAAGTGACTTTGGCAAATAAAAAGGCCTACACTGGTTACACTCAGCTCTGCAGCTACGTACAGAGAAAAGGCCCAGGAGATGGCGTGCCATATATTTCTCTTACATACACCCGGAGAAAGGCAACTAACCCTAACTAGCACGTGACACCGTCTGGTCATCATCCGCCATCCATCTCCGTCAGAAAGTCCCAAATTCCCCTTCCCCTCCGCTGCAGGGAGAACAGGCAGAGAGAACGTTGAACGAAGGCCGGGGGAGCGGGTTGGCACATTCACAGGGAACAGTTTTCCCGGTGGAAAAGGTGGTTTTGTCAAAATCAAAACAGTTCATGAGAGCATGTCAGTTTCAAGGACATTTTCTATTTGGAAACTGATCTAAATAAATAATTTTAACTCTCCTTTTGTTTCGATGCTGTCAAAACATTTCAAAGCAGTGAGGCTAAGACTTTTCTTGGACATCATTTCAGTTCATTTTCTTTAGGCATTTACATTGTTTTAGATATTAATTCAATATATAGACACAGTATATTTAATGTGATAATGTTCCGACATTATCAAAGTGAATATTTTTACCATACCAAAACATTTTTACATTGTAAAACCAAGTGATATAAAACCAAAGTTTTATCTATGAAGAGAGGCTGAGGGATTTGGGCTTAATTAGTCTGCAGAAGAGAAGAGTGAGGGGGGATTTGAGAGCAGCCTTCAACTACCTGAAGGGAGGTTCCAAAGAGGATGGAGAGAGGCTGTTCTCAGTAGTGACAGATGGCAGAACAAGGAGTAATGGGCTCAAGTTGTGGTGGGAGAGGTCTAGGTTGGATATTAGGAAAAGCTATTTCCCTAGGAGGGTGGTGAAGCACTGGAATGGGTTACCTAGGGAAGTAGTGGAGTCTCCATCCCTAGAGGAGTTTAAGTCCCGGCTTGACAAAGCCCTGGCTGGGATGATTGAGTTGGGGTTGGTCCTGCCTTGGGCAAGGGGCTGAACTTGATGACTCCTGAGGTCTCTTCCAGCCCCAGGATTCTATCAAAGTGTTCCAAAGTTCTGGAATAGAATGTTTTCAGATTTTCTGTTCTGCAACAAATTGCAAATCTTCCTCCCAGTTTGGGATAAACCTGCATTGGTCAAATGCTGGAATTTCCTGCAGAAAGGAAAATGTGGAAATTTTTGGCCTACATTTGTGCAAATAATGAAGGTGACTGATCCCAGTTCTCCTTTGCCAAGCGGCTGGAAGTAACTGGTAGCACTTCACGCATTACTGGTGTGAATGGCTCCATGGGGTGGAATGCAAGGGGGTCGGGCCCATTGAAATTAGCATTAAACATTTCAATCATGTGGTTTAGAATTTTCTCTTCTCTTTCCCCTTTGTCCCTGGGATGAGAGGCCGGGGACGGGAAAGACCCTCTGACCCCTGCCCATGGCTGTAAGGGATTTAGCTGCATTTCCATCACCACCACATGCCCTGGGCATTCTGGGCTGGACTCTGCAGCAGGTTAAACATGCAAAGGACAAATCCTGCGTTACCGAGAGCTATGGACTGGTAGCCTGAGCAGAGACCATGTTGCTCAAGGATGAGGATCCTGCATAAGCCTGGGTGCTCCTGCTTACTCCTGCCCATTTCACCTGTGCCCTTGTGAGTGAAGGCGCACGTGGGGAGAGGGGCACTCACTTGTGCGTTGCACTACAGTGCAGAGGATACACGTGCCTAGCACGGCTTTAAGGGGAAATCTGGCTGAGCCAGCAGGAACGGGGCGAGTGCAGTGAGCAGGAACCGGCTCTCGGGCTGCACTCGCAAGGGAAGTAGGGTCTTTCACGCAGATGCCCCCAGCTCCCTCGCTTGGGGCAAGCCTCAGGACAAAAGCCCGTCACCGTCTATCTCCGTGTGCTTCAGCGCCGCCTGGAGCTCCTCTTCCGTCAGAAAGATCCCCAGGTTGCCCAGAATGGAGTCCAGGTGACTCGTCGCAACCCTGTCCCCTTGGATGGGCAGAGACAAAGGATTACGTGCTAAGATCCTAGCGAGGTTTCCCGTGGCTGGAAACTGACACGGGAGAGAAGGGAATCCCTGCTCTGCCACCCACAGTGTGACTGCGGCAGCTGCTCTGCTATCCTTATGGGAGGGCAGTCACACCTGGAATGCAGCATACATAGGCTGCCATGGGATCTGCAACTGCTGCTGGCTCAGTAAATCCATGGGGCGACGGGGCTGATTCATCCCTAGGATTCCCCGCAAGGATGTGGGTGAAATCCCCCCGGGCACACAGGGGGCTTTCTCGGTGGAGGGTTAAATAGAACGTACTTGTTGCTCAGACCTGGTGCTGGGCACTGAGACAGGCGTCACATTCGGGGCACCCAGGAAAGTGACTAGTCCGGCACTAGTGACCCTGGAAATGTTCGATTTAAAGGCATAAAGCCTCCGCTAGTCGTGCTAAAGGGTTAGATCTGTTAGCTCCCCGGCTGCAGCAGATCCTAACTCTCTGGCTATGGGCAAAGCCTCGGTGAACGAGCTAGGGTTACAGACGCGCTGCTGAGACAAATCCGAGGAAGGTGGAGGGCTACTGTGTTGCATTAGGGTGACCCTATGTCCTGCTTTGCCCAGGACAGCTCCTTCCTTGAAGCCATCTCCTGGCCATCCTGAGATCTTTGGCAGCTGGCAAGAGCCAGTGGGACAAATGCCCCCGCTTGTCAAAACAGAAAAGGGGGGTGATGCCAGCCCCAGGCAGGAGGGAGGCAAGACTTGGGCGAGCAGCAATGCCAGCCCCGCATGCAGGCATGGGGTTCGAGTGAGTGAGGGGAGGGGGCCTCAGGCGAGTGTCTTTAGCCAGGCCCATGGGTGGGTGGTGAAGGCTCAAGCTAGCCTCACGCGGTGACCTTTGGGAAATAGGGTCCCCCAATGTTTCAGCCAGCTGGCTCACCAGGGCTTGACTCACTCTCAGCTTGGGAAGCCCGCCGTGTGCTTATCACACTCTTCGTAAAGCCGCTCACGCTCACCTTGCCGTCTCCTGCAAAGGGCAAGCGCCGGGCAGGCAGAAAGAGACAGTGGTCTGTTCTGAGCTGGCTTTCCACAGCGCAAACGGGGGTTGTTGACATCAAGGCTTTTCACGGCAAACTTCGGGGGTATTAAAGTGCGACTGTAAATGTTATTGGACACTTTTCATAGCATCCCAGAATAGAACTGGAAGGGGCCTCTGTGTTACAGCTATTGGAGCAAGAGCAAAAATGAGGTGAACCAGAATGGGAATGTTGAGATGAAATGTTGCAATGGTCCCAAACTGACATTTTTCTGAATTTTCCTTTTGTGGGAGACTTTAAAATTGCAGCTTCTTGTGCTGATTTTGAACAATCCCTCCCCAAATCTTGGAGCTCATGGATCCGATTGTTCAGGTGTACAGAGAAAACTGCTGTGCCAAACAGCTCACCATCCACACTGACGTGCTTCAACACCTCTTGGAGCTCCTCCTGTGTTAAGTGCATCCCCATTTCAGCCAGAAGAGCATCCAGGTCTCTGACATCCACCCTTTTCCCTGGGATAGATGGAGAGAAACACAGAAAATAATAGCAAAATGCCTGAATTCTCATAGCATGTTGTCTAGAAATTCACGCTCTGGCTTGTACCACTCTGGAAAGGGGGTGGCTTGACATTGGATTTAATCACCAAGAGTTTAGAAACAGAGTCACTCTGCATCATTGCAAATGTGAAACTAAATCCTGTAGCTTTTCTCCGAAAGCATCTCCAATTGGCTATAGCTGCACTGGCAGGTTTTGGCAGGCTTGGCAGTACTAAGAACTGAAAGCACAAAACTTACATGAAGGCAGCAGTCAGACTACACACTGAAAGGGACAAATGGAGTCACAGGGCCAGAGTCTCATAAACATTAATGCTCCAAGAAGGCCAATGGCACATTGGGCTGCATTAGGAGGAGCGTTAAGAACATAAGAATGGCTGTACTGGGTCAGACCAAAGGTCCATCTAGCCCAGTATCCTGTCTACCGACAGTGGCCAGCACCAGGTGCCCCAGAGAGGATGGACCGAAGACAATGATCAAGCGATTTGTCTCCTGCCATCCCTCTCCAGCCTCTGACAAACAGAGGCCAAGGACACCATTTTATCCCCTGGCTAATAGCCTTTTATGGACCTAACCTCCATGAAATTATCTAGCTTCTCTTTAAACTCTATTATAGTCCTAGCCTTCACAGCCTCCTCTGGCAAGGAGTTCTACAGGTTGACTACACACTGTGTGAAGAAGAATGTTCTGTTATTAGTTTTAAACCTACTACACATTGCCAGCAGATCTAGAGAAGTGATTATTCCCCTTTATTCAGCACTGGTGAGGCCACATCTGGAGGATTGCATCCAATTCTGAGCCCCTCATTACAGAAAGGATGTGGATGCATTACAGAGAGTCCAGCAGAGGGCAATGAAAATGATTAGGGGGCTGGAGCACATGACTTATGAGGAAAGGCTGAGGGATTTGGGTTTATTTAGTCTGCAGAAGAGAAGAGTGAGGGGGGAGTTGAGAGCAGCCTTCAACTCCCTGAAGGAAGGTTCCAAAGAGGATGGAGAGAGGCTGTTCACAGTAGTGACAGATGGCAGAACAAGGTGCAATGGTCCCAAGTTGCAGTGGGCGAGGTCTAGGTTGGATATTAGGGGAAACTATTTCCCTAGGCGAGTGGGGAAGCCCTGGGATGGGTTCCCTAGGGAGGGGGTGGAATCTCCATCCCTAGAGGTTCTTAAGTCCCGGCTGGACACAGCCCTGGCTGGGATGACTGAGTTGGGGCTGGTCCTGCTTTGGGCAGGGAGCTGGACTCAATGACTCCGGAGGTCTCTTCCAACCCTGGGGTTCTCTGATTCCTTTACATTGTGCTTCTGGCTCCCCATAGCTCTGCACCATCATGCCAGGGGTCCAAGCAGCAGCCCCTGTTCCTGTCAAACGGGCAGGGCTAACGACCCACAATGTCACCAAAGGGTCAAGGCTTAACCGAGTCCTGCAAAAAGCCACAGCCAATGCCACTAATGCACCCTCAGGAATGATTTTACAATTGTGCATAATTCACCCCCACAAACCTAGCAAGTTTAATTAGCCCTAATTAACAATCAAATAAACCTGCTTAGCATTTAATTTAGTGGGGAAGCTCTACTTGCATTGTGCAGTCACTTTACATTGGTATGACCTTTCCAAAATATTCTCCTGGGCAGCTGGAAGGTTGAGGCAGATATGACCAGGTGCAAATGTGGGGTAAGAACAGAAACTCCTGTTCTTTGCTGTAGCAAATGTGCACAGGAATTAGACAGCCCGACTCTGCTCTCACTTGGCCCATACAAGCCTGAAGCAGCCAGGGTGGGTGCAAGCTATAGGAGAAAGCTGGAGTGCTCTCCCCAGAGGCCACCAGAAAGGACTTGTAGACTGTCAGGCTGTGTCTAGACTGGCAAGTTTTTCTGCAAAATCATCTGCTTTTGCGGAAAAACTTGCCAGCTGTCTACACTGGCCGCTTGAATTTCCGCAAAAGCACTGACGATCTCATGTAAGATTGTCAGTGCTTTTGCGGAAATACTATGCTGCTCCCGTTTGGGCAAAAGTCTTTTTCCGAAAAGCTTTTGCACAAAAGGGCCAGTGTAGACAGCAGAGATTTGTTTTCCGCAAAAAACCCCGATCATGAAAATGGCAATCGGGGCTTTTTTGCGGAAAAGTGTCCGTGGCCAATCTAGACGCGCTTTTCCAAAAATGCTTTTAACGGAAAACTTTTCCGTTAAAAGCATTTTTGGAAAATCATGCCAGTGTAGACGTAGCCTCAGAGTGTAATTTGGCCAGAGCATTTGGGTAATCCTTTACAAATGCTGAATATCATCCGTGTATCAGGAGCTGTCTACAGCCAATGGCGTCTTTCGCTAGAACAGGGGAGGCGCAATTTGCAGATAGAAAGGTCACGCTCTAGTTGCACATAAAAAACTAGAACCTATTGTATTGCTCATAACTGTACAGGCTCCCTAAAGCAGACACCGCATCTCAAATAGCAGCCGGCATGGAGCACTGGCCCATCAGGACCTTGGATTTAGGTCTTCTTTCTGGAGCCCACGCACTTCAGGGGCCAGGCTGCTCGAGTTGCTCGCAGTGGTGTGTGGTCAGGAGCGGCCCTAGATGAGCTGCCAGCAACTGGAGCCCTAGGCGAAACGCGTGATCAGCACCCCCGCCTCCAAAGCCCTCAATGGCCATTTATCTTGGCGCCCTAGGCAACTGCCTACTTTGCCTTTATTGTTGGGGGGGGGGAGGTAGAGAAGGAGGTGGGGCCTTAAGGGAAAGGGGGTGGGACCTTGGAGGAAGAGGCAGAGAAGGGGGCGGGATCTGAAGGATAAGAGGTGGGGAATGGGGCAGGACCTGGAGGGAAAGGGCGGAGAAGGGGGTGGGGTCAGGAGGGTCCATTGGAAAGGGGGCCGGTTTTACTGATTCTTTGTACCAACCATGCAACTGATCCCCAGTACATAGGCCCGATCCTGTGAAGTGCTGGTGCCGTCAGCTGCCAGTGAAGTTAAGGGTGCGGACACCTTGTAGGACTGGCTACTGTTGTTCAAAATACGTACATCTGCAGGGTGCTGTACGCATCGCGATCTGTCCCTCTTTGATGGGGAGTCCATGGTGCTCACCTTCACCGTGGGAGAATCTCCGGAGAGCCCTCACGCCCTTCAGAAACTTGCTCAGATACACCTTCCCGTCCGCTGTGCAAGGAAGAGAGCTCAGGGTTACATGCCAGGGGATGGGGCACTGTGGCTGGCATCTCTAAATAAATGCTTCTAAACTGCACAAGAGAACCATTCAACGGTGCGTGTGTAACCTCCACACCTGCTGGGTGTGGTTAACAGTCCCGTGCACTGGCACAGAGACCACTTACAGAGAAAGAATGAGTTTGCTCTACAGCCCTTGCTGCGAGCCAGCTAGCTTTTAGCTCGAGCAGTAGAGACTCGTGCATTAAGCTCCAGAGGTCCCATGTTCAAATCTGCTTGCTGGTGATACACGTGCAAATAAGGCATTTTTTTCACCTGCATTTTGCCTTTGCAGCCACCAGACAGATCCACTGCATGTGCCTATCAGAGTGCACAGAAGTGAGTGGCAGGGGGCATGGCCATTAACATTAACATATTGTGGGGTGCCCTGGGGCCAAGATGGCTCTAAACTGGCTCAAAGCCTGACTTGTGAGGCTACACTTTCAATCCCAAGACACAGCTTGTCCAGGAAAACTTTGTTCATTTGGGATTCCCAGCTCTTGAAGGAGCAGCGCCCGTTTCTCTCTCGTCTCCTTCGTGCAGCTGTTTACAAACCCAGCAAACAGGAGATATTCAGCATTATTACCGTGTACCTGCAGGATGGCCCCTCTCACCCTGCCCACTCCAGGACCACGCAGGTGGTGCGAGTCACCTGCCGGGTGAGCTGCAGACTAGAACGGTCTGTGGGCACGTGCCCTGTGGCTCCAATGGACTCACCCACAGTTCCACAGGGGGGCGCTGTGGAGGGGTTGTTTTAAATGGATTGCCTATTTTCTTCCAACAGTTGCGCATATTGTAACGCACATAAACATACCCACAGCCCCCCAACACCCAAACATACCGACCCACACAGACACAAACACCCACCCGATCACACACACCCACGCGTACCGACCCACAGCCCCACAGCCCCCCAACACCCAAACATACCGACCCACACAGACACAAACACCCACAACCCCCCCCACATACATACCCACCCACACCCCCACAGCCTCCCACACCCATACATACTGACCCACACAGACACCCACCCCACAGCCTCCCCACACCCACACAGACATACCCCCACAATGCCCTGCACCCACAAATACCGACCCACACACCCACACCCTCCTGAAACCCACACATGACCCACACAGACACCCCCCATAACCTCCCCACCCTCACAGATACACACACAGCCCCCTGCATCCACACATACCAACCCCCACAGACACACCCACACATACTGACCCATACAGACACTTCCCCTTGCAACTCCCCCACACCCACACATATCGACCCACAGAAAAAAACCTCCTCACAACTCCCCCACACGCACACATACCGACCCACACAGACGGGCACTCCCAGCTTCTCCCCCCAGTGCAAACATTACTGCAGCCACTGGCCCTATCACCTCGCCCACTGAGTCGACGCCACACTCGGCCCCTGCCTTGCAGCCTGGCCCACCCAGGTACAGTGTCACTCTCCATCCTTGTGAGGGACCATGGGCTGCTAGACGTGGGATGAAGCTGGGCTGGCCCCTGGGTGCAGGAGGACCAGCAGCACTGGGTGCCCCACTGACTGGCCATGTTTTCCCCATAGCTCCCCATTGTGAGCCAAAACGAGTGAGTGGCAATAGGACGAGGCACCCGGGGGTCACTCAGGTTTGGTCTTGCCGCTCCTCCGTCATGAGAGAGAGGCCCCCGGGTAGGCTCGCTTGCACCAACATCCCCAGAGTGTTTGCCACACTCACCATCCACCGCAACCTGCTTCAGCACCTCCTGCAGCTCCGTGTTCGTCAGGTAGATACCCATGCTGTCCAGGATGGAGTCCAGGTTCCGGACATCGACCCTGTCCGCTTGGATGGGGAAGGAAAGAGACGGGTCAGCAAACGGCACAGAATCCTGGAACCACAGGGTGAGAAGGGACTGCAGGGGTCAGCCAGTCTTCAGCTAAAATCCGCTGGCTCTTGCCACAGGCCGGGAAGCCAACTCATAGGGTGTGTGTGTGTGTGTGTGTGTGTGTGAGAGAGAGAGAGAGAGAGAGAGAGAGAGAGAGACAGACAGACAGACAGACAGACAGACAGAGACCTGCTCATGTAAGCACAGGGCAGGCTGGGCAGAGGGAAATCAAACAGGGGTAGACTCAGCAGAAGGAGATGCCTGAAAGTCTGGCACAGGGAGAACTGGTGGGAGGAGATTGATTGGGCCGGATTTTCTTTTCCCTTGTGGCTAGTGAGATGGGATCTGGCCTGGCAGCCCCCACCTCTGGGCAGTTTTTAATGTTCTGAGCTCAAGGGATCCAGACCAGCCTGCATCACACCAATGAAGTCAGAGCAGCCGGGAGTCAGTGCTGGACAATGAAATGGGGCTCTGGAGAGCTGAGTTGTGTTCCAGGCCTTCTCTGCACCTCTGTTTCTCCTCCACTCTGGGTCTACTCAGACACCTTGCTGGCAGGGAGGGCCTGCCTCTCGCTGTGTGTCTGGACAGCACCCGAACTCTACAAGACTGCCAGCTCCAGGTAACCACACACAAAACCCCATAGCACTGAAAAAACCAACACCACAGCTACCATGCTGAGAACACCATTTGAAATGCTGAGACGTGGCTCTGTCTATTAGCTTCCACCCCCTGACCTCGCTGAGTGGACGATTCCTGAACGCATCCACATTTCAAAGGGATGGCCTAAAAAAATCCCACCCCTTTCTTCTCAAAATTGTTCTCCTTGGTTTTCAGCCATCAATAGCAGCTGTTCGGAAAATGTCCAAACACACACACACACACACACACGAGGAAATTTCCCCCCAATGAACACACACACACACACACACACACACACACACACACACACACACACACACGAGGAAATTTCCCCCCAAACTGTTTTTCAAGCAGCTCCGTGTACAGTAAAGTTTCTGCTGACTGAATCTTTTGCTTTTTATCCCCCAGCAGACTCATCAATTCCAATGCCAGAGGGGACCACTGTGATAAGTTGCCTGCCCACCTGCAGAACAAAGGCCAGAAAACTTCCCCAGAACAATTCTTGGGGCTCCAATACTATGCAGAAGCCATAAAGGCTTTGTTGGGTCCTTTACCAACAACCCAAACGTACAAGGCTCAGCTCAGGGGTGGGGACCGACAGCCCACGGGTGGGATCTGGCCCCAGTTTGCCTGGCTCCGGCCTGCGAGGCTCAGGGTTCCCCTCCCCCCAGCATCAGGGAGGCCCAGTGGCACTCCAGCTCTGCGGGCCCTCCCCTGTGTGACTGGAGTGTCAGCGCCGGCTCCCTGCTGTGGGTGAGGAGGGGGTTTGCCCCGAGCCCCGACTGCCTAACTCCAGCCTATGAGGGCCAGATCCAGCCTGCGGGCTCTGCCTGGCAGGGGGAGGAGGCGGGTCTGTGCACTGTTGCTCATCCTCCCTGCTGGCTGGGAGAACAGCAGTGCAGGAAAGGGCTCGCCTGGAGGCTTTCCCCTGCTGCTCCCATTGGCTGGGATTGCGGCCACCAGGGGCAGCAGGGGGGGGTGCC